GCGGCAGTTACCACCGGCTCAGCCGCAACACAGCAGCATCCCACCTCGCCCCTGCTCCACCGTCACACCCCTCGCTCCCTCTCACAGCTCTGGAAGAGGAGTATTAGATCATGGACGAAGCTCGAAATCACCCTCAGAACACTTTATTCAGCGGCAGAACAGCGTGGTGGCAGCAGACGGGATTCAAGACCAGGACGACTGCAGCACAGGATTAACAACAGCCCACTCTCCCGATGGAACCGGCCTGCAGGGAGCACGGAGGTGTCTGTAAGGGCACAGGACATTGCTGTCCTTCCTTCTACAAAGGACATCCCGTGTCCTTCAGTGAAAAAATAATCTAAAATAACATTACTGCACAGATGGAGAAACAGGCACTGGAATCTGAAAGAGATGAGTAACTCCCCCAAATCTTACAGCTCCTCATGGGCACCAGGGGACACAGAACACATATTTACATGTAAACACTACATCCATTACTATCATTTGGAATCCTAATAGGCATCCGGGATGAGAAACTGGTTTTGCAGGAGGAAAGCTTCTAAAGTTTATCTGCATTGTTACATTCTGTCACAGCTGGTAACTTGTTCATTATCACTTTTGCTCAGCACATGTGGCCATTTGGGTTTTTTAATCTAACACAGCTTGTAGTCAGTAAATACTCTGCTGTCCACCTGCAGCTGGTATATTCACAGAGGCCTGGCCTCTGCACGGTTATCAGCCTTTCCCTGGACCTGCTCCACGTCTCCTGTCTCCAACAGAATTCAAATCTCATCTGCTGCTGGCAGCACTCCCAACTACCAGGAAGCAAAACCTCAAGCCATCCCACATGAGGAATGTGGTCCGTAGGGATGGCTCAGGCTGCGAGTCAGCCCTGCTCTGACAGTCTGTGGCTGTCCCTCCATACACAGAGCTCTGAACACACTGACACAAACACCAAGGGCAAAAAATCCCATTTCCTTTTAACAGTAAACAGAAAGGAAAACAAGAGGATAACAGTTTATTGTTTAAGTTTTATCTGCACAGCACAAATTCTAACAAACCCTTTTGGGCTGTTGTACGGGACTGAGGGTAAATACACCTCTGAAATGACCTACAGGCTGAGTAGATGTGTGTTTCTTTGCCAACAGAAAACCTCAAAGGAAAGAAAGAGAACATGTCTCAGTTCCTTAGAGTCTTTTTCAGGTTTATGGCTACACTTAAAACTTACAACTGGAAGAAAATGTGATGGTATTTTTAGGTGGGTGCCATTTGGCAAAAGTGGTCTGTCCAACCCTTTTTCACTCGACCATAGTAACAGGGAAAAGTTTCAAGAGGTCTGTGATGACCCCAGAAGAAAGTTTAGACTGGATTCTTACCTTATTTACTGACTCTTTGTTATTACTGTTGTTCCATTGTGAGCAGGGACAATAGGTGCAGGAAAATCCACTTCAGGGGCATCAAAAAAGTAGGCCTACATTATTAGAGAGGAGAAAAAGTCTGTTTAGAGAGAAACAAACAGTTCTGCCTCATCCCAGCTCCTTCCTTCCACACCCGCTGTTCACGAGGTACCAACACCCCACTGAAATGAAAAATTTGGATCTTTTCTGGTTTTACCAGATTAGAAACGGTCAGCGAAAAGGGTGCTCTAAACTGTATCTTTAGATGTAACACTCAGCAGCTGAGGCCTTTGAAGAGACCTGTCCTGGGAAGGACTGGGTTGCAGATATTCCACTGTTTGCTCTTTTGACTGATGAAGCTCCAGGCAGCCTCTGGCGACAGCGCTGAGCCAGCTGCACACCTCCTGCTAACGGGAGAGCTGCGTTCTGCCTTCACCTCCCTCCGTGCTGAGCTGCAGGGAACCAAGTCTGTCTGCTCTGGAAGCTGGGGGCGGGGGCACAGAACTGAAGCCTGGATGGCATCACTCTACCCATGGCAATGAAGGGACCAAAAGTAATTTCAGTCCTCATCACCATGTATTTCAGTAGCGCTCGGGTCTCCTGTTTTCGTAGCGCTGATATTTTACTGTGTTCCAGAAGGTTTATGTTTTCACACACAAAACTCGTAAGCACACATTAAACGGTTAAACATTTAATCATTTTCAAGGACTAACTGAACACAGCACCCACTGGAACAAGCTGCGACTGGACACAATACAGATTAACGCTTTGCTGAATTGCAGATAAATTTTAGACTCTTCTGTGAGTGACTTTGTGCTAAAGACATGTCCATTGTGGAGTTGCTGGCACTGTCCCAGTCAGAACAGTATCAATTTTTGCTATGTTTGAAATAATTGGAGCTTTTCCTTTGGCGTTTTTTCAGAACTACCGTTTCTTTCCTTATTAAAAAGATTTTCCAGCAACCAGCTAACACCTCCTTCCCTGCACCGTAACATGTCGACAGCCCCAGAAACAAGAGATGAGAGAAAGAGGAAGGCAGTGTCATACCAGACAGCCGACAGACAGCAGGGCATGAAGCAGAACAACGGTCCCCACCGTCGCCAGCGCGACCCGCCGGTTGTCGTCTCGGACAGCGGGCCAGAAGGTCATCACCAGAACGGACCCCGAAAGGCACAGGGAGAACATCACCAGGACCCAGCGCACCACTTTTTGTGGTATGATCCATAAAATCTATAAAAGTGAGTAAAAGGATCATTAAAGAGACTGTGTGAAGCAGAGATTCGTTGATTTAACGCGTTGTTCTGTGACATTTCATCACTGTGCACAAAGTCACTCATGCCTTATCTCGTACGTCTGTCACGTGAGGGGAGAGCAGACACGACACGAGCACGTCCCCCGAGTCATGGCACTCCCTCCAAGGCCTTGTCCCTTGCCAGAGCAGCCCAGGACGGTCCCTCCTAGGGGAACCTGTCCTCGGAGCCTGCCCAGCACCCCGCTCACACAGGTCTGTACCCCGGGGACACACGCAACCTGAAGATTCCTGAAGTGACCTCGGGCTGCCTGTGTGGCTCAGCAGCACCCCTCTGGGATTTACCAGAAATGACCTGTCCTACACTTTCCCAGGACCCAGGAGACATCTTTACATTAGACAGACAGAAAGTTTTATTCTAGCCAAGGAAAAGGAGCAATTTGCTCAGTCCCCAAGATTTTGACTAATATGAACAATGTTATTAGAAACAGCAAGCTTTCTGCACCGGGACCTTTCTGCAGGGGGCGTAGCAGAGGCGCGCTGGGGGCCATACGTACCGCCGTGGGAATGTAAATGAAGAGGGAGTAGCCGTACACACACACTATCTCCAGGAACGAGTAGGACACGATGTTCATAACCTTGCTGTTCCTCCACATCAGGAATCCCCAGAGAGCAAGGGGAACAAGCCAAGCGTACGCATAAATCGTTGTTGCTGCTATGGACACTGGAAAAATGAGAGAAGGGTTCACATTTCACTTAGAATACCAGCCAGAATCACATGTAGAAGCATTTAGCCTGAAAAGTAGAAAGCTACCTTTGAAAATATAGATATACTTTCAAAATATAAGGTATGAATTATTAATAAACTGAGAACTTTGCATTTACACCCAGTTTACACCCAATACTTTGCCAACACTTTGGGTTAGTTTAAAAGTCAAGACTCCAGAAAGTATTCTCTGGAGGTTTTCAATTTCTTTTTTCTTTCAGTTTCCTTACTGCACCTGTGTACAACATGCTCTCGGTTTCAGGGGGAAAGGAGGAGCCACGGAGGAAAGAAAAACTTGGTTAAGAATAAAAATACAGCTACTAATAGCTACTGAAAAATGAGGACAGAATGCAGCCATGCTAAAAAACTGAAAGAGAACACAGACACAAGTGTCAAATCTGATATTATTCAAGTGACCGGATTCCCAAATGGCAGCATCCTTCCGAGTACGCTCTGGCTTTGGAAACAAACAGGAGCCACGTTCCTCTGCAGGGAGGGCGGTCAGACTACAAGGGGCAGTACAGACAATGGGCTCCTCACTCCAGGTTGAGCGAGTTGAGTGAGAACAGAGTTCTCCGGGGCACGTATAAGTCGAGCATCCTTTGCCTATTTGAGAGTTTGCCACAGGGTAACAACGTCCAGCCCTCGGCAGGCAATAGAGTAGTAGTACTCTGATTCAGTCACTTTCTGTCAGAGGTTGGCAGGCTCCTAGGAGCCCGTGGAGCCAGACAGGCACCTACAAAAGCAGCGCAGTGGCCACTGCTGCGCTTTCCCTCTCTGTACAAGGGGACATTCACTAGGGCTAGAAAAGTAACTGCCCTAATTACTCCTGCCTGCTCTACTGAAACCTGCTCTGGAGGAGTAGGGTTCTGCCAGTTTCAGCCTGCTTTAAGGGCTTCTTTCACATCTCCAGAAGTTTGTTTAAATAAGGCAACCAGGCAAGAGACTGATAAATCAAAGCTGTGACCCGTTTTTACACTACTAAACCAGAAAACCTCAACCCCCCCCAAACCCAGGACTCCTTACAAACCTTTTCTGAACTCGGGCACATAGTGGTACGTTGGCTTGCCCAGGTGGATGAAGAAATTGGAGAGATTGCCACTAACAGCAATGGTAAAGACGAGTGTGGCACATATCCAAAAGGGCCCTTAAAAGGAAACAAACAAGTTCAGCAACAACTCCTCTGCCCTCTTGTTTTTTTTAAGGTTAGCAAGTAAAAGGGAATACAAACCCAAAACACTTAGCACAGAGCTTCTCACACCTCGTACCTACCGTAAAGGTCAGGATTGCTGCGGATATACAGCCTTACAAAGTTCTTCCCTGGCACGGGGAAAACTGAACCTTTGATTCTGTCCAGGACCTATGAAAACACACAGATTTGTCTGACTGAAGGTGCAAAAAGAACCCAGTATCTGGATAAAGCATAGCTCAGACAACAGCTCCCCTCGGGAGCGGAGTATTAACCTGGTAAGTGTCCACATCAAAGAACGTCTGGTAGTACTCAAATGTCCAGAAAGGGGCACTTTTCTTCTGTCCTGCAAGCAGCTGGATGGAGGGAAAGGCGACTTCAGAAACATCACAAACACGCAATTTACGTATCATTGGTTCATTTGCACAACAGTTAAACCACTTCTATACCCAGAGAGAAGACAAACTTAACAGGATGGTGCTTACTATTTCATTACTTAACAGTTTCCCTTTCCCCCTCTCCTATTTGTAAGCAGCAGCTACTCTCATCTCCCTGCAAGCAGACCAATGGCCTGGGGTTCTGAAGAGCACCAGACACCACCTTACACATCATTTGTAACGTGTGCCTTCTTTGGCATCGCGAGCTCCCTCGCCATCGACGGCTGCTTTAGACAGACAAGCCCTGCCCGTTTCAAAGTTTCCTGCTCCCCTGCCAGAGCCACCAACCCCACAGCACAACCGACAGAAACAAACACGGTGCTGGGTTTTCAGCTGCTGCTGCGCTCATCTCCCGCGGTATTTGTTTAGCTTAAATCACCACTGTTTCAGTTAAATTTCCTGGGCTGCAGTCACAACAGCTAAAGAGCCTCTGCTATGGAGACAGTAACCTGAGACAGAGAAGCAGCACAGCTTTCAGTCACCCAGCATGAACCTGTCGTTCTCTAGAAATACCTCAGTGTTGTCAGCACAGCCTGTGTATGTGCCGATGGAGGCACTGCAGGTGGAAGAGCATTACCTCTGTTTTATCGGAGTCATCGGTCCCCAGTAATTCATCATCCTCTTCCCTCCCTGGCTCTTGCAGGCGGCCGCGCTGATTCTTCGGGATTTCAGCTGGCTCGTCAATGCTTATTGTGGTAGCATCAGGATTTGCTGCAAGCAAATTAGCTGCATCGTCAAACTCTGTAAATAAGTGCATTACAAGAGAGGCAATAATCAATCTACCTGAATTTTTGGTTTTGTGGCTCAAAAAAATTCAGTAAGACCCCTACGCAGCCCAAGAAAGGATACATCACTACTTTAGGCATGTCACACACCACCCGTTTCTGAAAGCCCAAACTGACAGGGATCACTCTGGACATGCACCGAGTGAACACAGCGTGAGGCCTTCCCTCCCGCTCGCTGAAGCCTGCCTTTCCTTCCTTCCCAGCCTGAGAAAAGGGCAGGGGGAAGCTGCCTCTCTGAAGAGTCTGTAGAAATGTGTCATTTTAATTCTCTCCAAAAACTGTTTTTTTTTTCAGACGTGAATTTATTTATCAACAAATACACTTAAGCAAGTCTGAAACTGCAACCCATTCCAAACCGCAGAGTGCTCTGCTCGTTTCCAGCTTCCCCTTTGACGAAGGCGTTCGGTCAGCACAGGCAACACTTCGGCCCACCGACAGCACCACCTTATCTCCGAAAACCGTCCCGACATTCCCGGCGGAACTCCAGGGAAGCTTTTATTCAGAGGCACCCGAGGCAAAGCTCAAAACCGCTGCCACACGTCTAGGAGCTCCACCACCCCACCAGCCGGGCCCCAGAGCGCCTGTTTACCTTGAAATTTG